GTTCAGTCACTCAAACAAAGAGAACTCCAAGTCCAAAGAGTTCTTCACCTACCCCTACCACCACCACCAGCAGCAGTAGCTCCAATGCTACTTCTCCTCCTGCTGGTTTGGTGTTTATTTCTTTAAAGAATTCACTCACTGTTCACATATGCTCTTTTAATGGTGCTGTCATGGAAACTGTTCACACTGTTGATTGCAGCAGCAGTATAACGTCAGCACTGAGATGTAAGCATAGACCAATAGCACATGTACATGTACCTTTTATAATCATGAGCTAAAAAAAACTGTTGCATTTAGTTATTTTTGAAATATAATATACATGTATGTTCTTTTCATTGTATGTACATGTACTTGATACCAACTTCATAATGTAAAATGTATTTTTCTCTTCTTTCCTGTAGATTATGATCCCATCATAAAGAAACACAAATGCACCAATCCTTACATCACTTCATTAACATGTACACAATCTCAGCTACTGATTGGTACCTCCACTGGTGTACTTATTACACTATCGCTAGTGGGAGGAGCTAACACTCATCAACTCCACCCACTAATCAGAGGTCACGTTGATAGAGTGAGTACCCTGGTATCAGTTCCGCCCACTCACACTAATAGTAATTATCAAGTGTTTATAAGTGGTGGCCATGGGCTGGAGGATATTAATAAAGCAAGAGCTAGTGATGATGTATCAGAGACTGAGGGATGTCTTCTCTTTTGGTATTTATCATCTACTAAGAATCAACAGCTGCACTGACTGACTGTCACATGACTATCACATGATTAATAGCATTTTATTGTTTGTGTATGTTTTAAGATTAGCATGACATTACAAATAAAATTTGTGTATTATTAATAATTATTAAAAATTAAAACTTCATGTCTGCAACTACTTGTAAATATTTAATATGCCTCTAATTTGCTCATAATAAGGTAAAGTAGCACATATTTTTTCATGTTTTTCATCTAGTGAAAGTACACTTAGTGTATTATTGGTCCTGAGTGATTTCATTAGCATCAATACTCCATCAGTACCAATGTTAGTATGGTAGAGATAAAGGCGACTGAGTGTCTTGTTAGTGAGTAAAAGTTCAGCCAGTGGTTGAGCACTATCTGAAGTGATGTCAGGATTTTTGGTAAGAACTAAGTTTTCAAGTGTTTCATTATCTTTTAGCGATTGTGCTAGTACAGCAACTCCATCATCATCAATTGAATCATCAGATAGAACTAGACCTGTCAACGATTTGTTTGTTGATAGTTGAGAAGAGAATGAGAGAATATCAGCATGTGATAAGAATGAGGACTGTATAAAAAGTCCTGTTATTGTTCTTTTCTCCAATACAGTTGGTATTAGGAACTGGATATTCTCACACTTACTGAATATCATTATCTCATGTTTGTCCTCCACTTTATCAATTACTTCGATGAATTGATCTAATGATGGTTTAAATAATGTCATAGCATTCTGGGTCCATGCCACATTTACTAAGGTATACATAT